AGGCAACTTCAGAGAAGACAGAGGCCCTAGTGGCAGTGTCCCCAGCTGGAGGAAGCATGCATTTTTGCTTCTCTTTTTCCTGTGGAAAGGAGCATTCACCATAACCCCTCCTATCCCGTCATCACCTTCAACAGTTATCAACTTGTGGCCCATTTCCTCCAACCATCCAGACTATTCTCAACAGATCACTTCACTCAAAAATATTTTAAAACATATCTCCAGAATATGAGTCCTGTCTTTACTAACTATATGCCTTGTTTTAATAAAGAAGAGAAAGCTTTCCTCAAAAGCCATTTAGCAGTATTTGGTAAAATAATTTGTCACCAAATACAGGCGCCTGGGTGGCTCAGTGAGTTGAGTGACTGACTTGATTTCGGCTCAGGTTGTCATCTCGGAGTCATGGGATGGAGCCCCACATCAGGATTCACACTCAGCGGGGAGTCTGCTTGAGATTCTCTCCCTCTTCCCCTCTCCCAGCTCTCCAAAGCCCGCATACACTCTCTCTCTCTTTCAAATAAATAAGTAAATCTTTTAAAAGATCATTTGTTCAAAATAAAAATGTTAACAAAACAGTGGATTAAATTAACAAAATTTCTGCATTTCATTTCTACAGAATGAAAACCATGCAGTGTTTTAAGATTTGACATTTAATGACATTTGAGAGAATTAATTTCAAGATAGGAAAAAGTATCTTTGGTATAAAATATTAAGTAAAAAAGGGTTATAAAATAGTCGAAGCAGGGGGCACCCAGGTGGCTCAGTGGGTTAAGCCTCCGCCTTCGGCTCAGGCCATGATCTCGGGGTCCTGGGATCAAGCCCGTAATCGGGCTCTCTGCTCAGCAGGGAGCCTGCTTCCCCTCTCCACTCTCTGTCTGCCTCTCTGCCTACTTGGGATCTCTATCTGTCAAATAAATAAAATCTTTAAAAAAATATAGTCGAAGCAGGATGACCTTAATTTCTAACACTGTAATACACACAACATGTATGTGCACAGGAAACAAACTGGAAGAAAATATATCAAAGTTCTAGGTGGCTTTCTGGGTAATTTTAATTTTCTCATTGCGCTTTTCTGAGTGTTCAGTGAACAATGAGAGTGTACGGCAATCATAAAAACGTTAACAAAAAATACAGTGGTGCCTGGGGTTTCCCAAAGGGTGCTGGTGTCATCCTAGGACTTGTCACTGGTGAGTGACTGCATGCACTCCTTCAGCCCACAGCATCCTCCCAGGCAGTCCCTGGTTTCTTTTCTAGATTTAGCACTGGTCTTCAGAGCCTCTTACCCAGTCCATTTTTCAGGCATTAGATCCTAGCTGGCCTCCATTTGGCTCCAGATGGTGGGCAAACCGGTTCCCTCCCCTCCCAGGTTCTATGGTATGAGTCCTTTAAGCACCAATGGGCCCGGGCCAGCAGCTTTTGGATTTAATGGATTTATTGGGCAATGACTTTACACAATCTTATCTCTTTGCAATCTGAAATTAAACCAGACTGCAATGTCTTATTTAGCCAATAGGTGGTGCTGTGCAACACAAAAGCACTAGTGCCCCGCGGTTCTGAGACAGATTTCAGGGATCCTTGTAATAATTGCCGGAGAGGGCAGGATGACATAGCATAGCTACCTAAGGGCATGCAGACAAACTTACCACCTGCCACTATCCCTACCATCACCACACAGGACTAGCCATTTCAATATAAGTGTAGGAAGACAGAAATCTCAGGATAAAGGCAATTCTTGAATATGAATACATTTTAAGAAAAACTCCGTTGTATGATTCTTATTCTTGTTATTTCAACTCAGACCAATGAAAACTTGACCCTAGACCAGCGCAACCCTAGACCAGCACTGGTGCTGAACTGGCCTTTGGGAATCCCTGCTCTAGCCAAGGATTCCAGGAGTTGAGGTCCCTCTATTCCCCGATGTCAAATTTCCATAAATATCAATTTGCTTCAAATTAAGAACGCCTTGCCTGGGTGGCTCAGTGGGTTAAGCCACTGCCTTCGGCTCAGGTCATGATCTCAGGGTCCTGGGATCGAGTCCCGCATCGGGCTCTCTGCTCAGCAGGGAGCCTGCTTCCCTCTCTCTCTCTCTCTCTCTGCCTGCCTGTCTACTTGTGATCTCTCTCTGTCAAATCAATAAATAAAATCTTTAAAAAAAAATTAAGAACGCCTTTATGTTCCCAGTGTGCAGTGAGACATATCTACTAGATCTTTCCTCCACTCGTGGTTAAAGTGGAGCAGTGAGCCACTTTTAAGCAGAGCTATCTCTTAAAGACACAGGTTGGGAATGCCCAGGTGGCTCAGTCAGTTAAGCGTCTGCCTTCAGCTCAGGTCATGATCCCAGGGTCCTGGAATCGAGTCCCGCATCAGGCTCCCTGCTCAGTGGGGAGCCTGCTTCTCCCTCTGCCTGCTGCTTCCCCTGCTTGTGCGCACGCTCTCTCTGACAAATAAATATTAAAAACAAAAACAAAACACCACACAGGTTGATCACACCGTTCCTCTGCTGTCAAAAGGACTCAGGATATCACACCAGCAGCTTTATGATCGAGGCCTGCCTCACTCACCAGGATCAGAATCGGACAAGAGCCACCTCCAGCTCATCCCAAAACACAACAGAAGGATGGCTTCCAGACTTACCGAACTTCAGCACTTAAACCCAGTCTGTTCCCTCCAGCTGCAATGTTGACATGCCCCTCACCTTCCCGATACCTGCCTAGTTCTTTCCAGCAAGTCAGCACAATGTCACCTCCTCCAGGAAGCCACCTCCTCTGCTCCCAAGGCACCTGGCACATAATGATCTGAGAGTACTTGTCACCTGGTTAGAATGGCGGCATCCCCTGGACACTGTCTGTTCAGCTTGTGTTCCCTCCTCAGGATTTGACTCAGTAAGGTACCCAGCGAATCCTTGCTGATTCATTGATTCTCCTTGTTGGCAAACAAGCTTGGGTCAACTTTTTCAAAAGCCTCCCTTAAGATCTTTTCAGTAAACCCAGGAGATGCTGGCAAAAGCTGGCAGGCTGGTTGGAGTGAGAGAAACAGCAGGAAGCCCTGGGACTTACGGAGCTGGGGATCTGGCAAAAGTACATTAGGTTTCCTGATACACTGAGTAGCCCCCGATCCTTTGGAGTCACCCTTGCAAAATATCTTTCTGAAATGTACTAGCTCTGCAGTTGCTTACCCAGAAACAACATTTCAAAAAATGAAGTTGAAAATGTCTATGAGTGACAAAAAGGAATGACTCTGTAGCAAAAGAACAAATTATTTTTTAAAAATAAAATGAAATTAAGGGAAATGGGAAGAGAAGACAAGTGTGTGTACACCAGAGTTGCGGTCAGTGAGTAATGAGCAACAGCAGGAACATGAAGAAATAAAACGTACAATTACAGTTTACTGGGTACTTGTCATGGTCCACGGACTAAGCGAAATACTTGATCTGTGCAACCTCATGTAATCCACACAACCATTCTAAAAAGCAGGGATGACTGTCCCTGGGGTTATAGGCTTGGAAAGGTTAAGTAATTTTTCCAAGATCAGACACAACTGGAATGGAATCTAGATCTAACAGCAAAGCCCCAAATTAACTTAATATTAACTTCTTCTCTTTGGTGATACATAGTGACCAAATATTTTTAGGGGTGCCTGGGTGGCTTATTCAGTCGAGCATCTGACCTGGGCTCAGCTCATGATCCCAGGGTCCTGGGAGCCCCCCATCAGGCTCCCACTCAGCAGGGAGTCTACTTCTCCCTCTCCCACTCCCAACTTGTGCTCACACACTCACACGTTCTCTAATAAAATCTTTTAAAATAAGCATTTTTTTAATTGCAGTTAAATATAACTGAATTCTGGACTTAGCACACAGGGTCGCTAAACACGTCTCCATCTGAAGACTCCAGACCTCCCAGGCCTGAGGGCCCACTGCGCAGGCCAGCCTGGAGCAGCAGATTTACAGACAGCCCCCAAGACCACCCTAAGTGGTCTTTGTGTTTTTAACAAATCCAAACCATCAGCTTCCTCTCCATGATTTAGCTCTCGTCCTGCTCAGAGGCAGGGTTAAGCCCAAAGGGCTAATTCCCTTGATCCAGTCATTTTCTAAGAACCACTAACAGACTAATCATTTACCTTTTAAATGGGTCAAGGGTGTTAATAGGTGGCTCACAGAAAAGGAAATACAAATGGCCCAAATAATTTTTTGTGTGTATGCCCTCATTAGAGAAATGCAAATTAAAGCTAGGGAGACCTCTCTCTCCAGCAAAAATCAGAAAGCTCAGTAACGCATGGAAAGCTCTCCTGTGCTGGTGGCCGTGGCTGCTGGAACCACCTCCCCCACGGACAGCCATTCAGCAAGACTCATCATGAAAGCACATGCTCTGACCGTGGAGCTCTGCTCCTGGGGTCGCATCTTTCAGACTGACTCGTAAGTGAAAATTAATCCGCATGTGCCGTTTTACTGCAGCAATGGTTGCGAGGCCTTGTTAAACAGAACATGGTACAGCCCTGGAACCCCAAACAAGAAGGGGGATGCTCGTTCAGTATGGCTATGAACTCCTCAAAATACTGTAAGTGGAAAAGACTCTGATGCTGAATGGCAGCTTCTGGCGGGGGGGGTGTGTGTGCAGCTGGGGTGGGAGATTTCACTAGAGACTCCTCGATACCTTCTGAACTTTAAACCACATGAAATACTCAGAAAAACGAAATTTAAACACCTATTGAAGCTTTCCCTGTTACAGAAGTTTCTGGCTTTGCGCCAGCTCTCCCCTGCAGTATACCCTGCCTTCTGGGAACTCTAGAGCAAGAACAGAGGGACTGTAAGTACGTGTCTGCATCAGGGAGGCTCTGCCCCTCTGCCAGCCCTGAAGGGGAGGGAGCCGGAAGGGTCACCCTGGCCGCACTTCCTCCCTCTGTCCACAGGTGGCGCCACAGGGCCTGCTGCCTGGACAGATGGTGGCCTGGGAAGCCCTGGGGCCTTGGGCTGCTGACCAAGAGGCAAAGAAATAGGCAGGCACAAGTAAGTTAACATAAAATAGAAACTAGCTTTATTTATCTGGAAGAAGCAGGGATCCATAGCTGGGGCAGCAACTCTGGCGGCAGAGGCTGGCAGGAAAACAGGGAACAGCATAGGGGAGGAGCTGGGTCAGAGAGGAAGCTCTGGTGTCCCTCCAGGGCAGCTGCCCCCTTGGTCTCCTTCCAACCCTGGGGCCTTGGGCCCTGGTCCCTGCCAGAGAACAATCTGGCACCCCTGCTCTGCTTCCTGAGCCACTCAGGGCTATTTCCAGGCACAAGATCCTAAGACTAGCCAAGTCCCATAACGTATCCGTGGCGAGGCCACAAGTCACATTCTCTCCGACACCCCAACAGCCCACCAGGGGATCCCTGGAGAAAGGGCCCTGCCCTGCGGAGGGCCTATGGGTGCTGGTCCCCCTTTCTGTGTGGCCAACACATCCTCCTTGCACGGGTGCAGCCTGGCTTCCCGGCCAGCAGAGCCTGGGGACACGCTCCGACCACAGGCCCCACACCCAGGGCTGGAGCCAGAGGCAGGCTGGCTGCAGGGCATGCTGAGGCCGCCACCAGGCCTGCCTTCATAGGGCTTCTTCCCGCCCCTTGGCTGAGGGCACCGAGGGCTGATCCAAAGTTGCAGGGACAGCACTGGGTGAGGGAGGGATGGCAAGGCGGGGCTCCCAGTCTCCCGCAGACTTGGCCTTGCCCTGCCGCTAGGAGCCGCGAGTGGCAGCAGGTCCTCCAGGCCCGGGCAGGGTCTCTCCCCACCCTTGTCAGATGGACAGGCTCAAGTGATTCCTTCAGGGCAGACCCTCTGGCTCTCCCGACATCTCAGCGCCTGAAGGGTGGGAAACAACCAGAAAGGGCCTCTATCAACAGAGGGATGGATGCAACAGAGCAGGGAACGTCCAGCGTGGGTGGGCACGAGTTGAAAAGTCAGCAGTAATTTTGGAATTTATCATCCTGGGATACCTTTTATCTTTAATAATGATGATAATAATAAAGAGAACAGCAGTATTGTTTATTAGCCGATCAGAGGGCGACAAGCACAGTAAACAAGCCCCACGAGAGGAGAGGCTCCAGTTCCCTCTTACTCTTTAGTTCATTTGAACCAAGGGGCTAAGTAGTCTACAGGCACTCAGGAGAAACGGCTCTCCCCCAGAGTTGTCCCTGTCCTGGCTTAGGGCTGCTGCCCGCCTCCGGGTGTGTGGCCCACGAGGGGCCAGGCTGTCCCCTGGCGCAGTGCCTGCTGGGACATGGCTCCTCAGGCCGGGGCTCACTCACTTGTGGTGGGCAGGGCCACAGGAGCCCAGAAGGCGGCAGCCGGCCTGCTCCAGGCTCCAGTCGCACATCTCCAGCACTTTGTGGCACTCGCTCCTCGGCCGCAGACCCAACCCAAAGAGCTGCTCCACCTGAGGGAGCAGAGGGTGGTGCCATGGGACACACCGGGGCTGAAGGGCGGCAGGCAGCCGGGGCGGCCAGGGTGGGGGCAGAGGAGAGCCAGAGGCAGGCTGGTGGGGAGGGGCAGGGGGAGGCGAGTGCAGCAGAACCAGTCCTCAGGGTCCCTGAAAGCCAGAGTGGGCGGGAGGTGGCAGTACCTTCAGATACTGGGCCGCCCGCTGCACGCTCCAGCTGTGGCTCTGTAGGGCCGCCTGGCACTCCTCTGTGGTCACCCCATGCACCATGGCCTGCAGCTGGGCACACCCACCCACCTACCCGTCAGCTCCGCTTGGGCCCATTCCTCTAGGGCCCTGGGGCCCCTGCCCACCCCCTGCCCCCCGCCCCACCACCCGGGCCCGGCACTCACCATCTGGATCTTGTCCGCCGGCCGTACAGACTCTGGCCCGTCCCCAGGGCAGCCCCTCTGTGGCAGCCGAGCCGTGGCCCTCAGGGCTGGTGGCCGGGCCCCTGGGTTACTGTTGTTGGTGGAGAAGTTGGCCTTGGGGTCTGGGGCGGCCTGGGGCATTGGTCGAACAGTGGCCGTGGGGGCGGCAGGGGCTGGGGTGCTGGGCGGGGGCAGCAGCAGGGGCACGGGCAGAGGGGCGGGCTCTTCAGGGCTCTGGGCCTCCCGTAGGAAGCGCTGATAGCGCTCGAGGTAGGGTGGGCGCTCCGGCAGCAGGTAGTAGTGGGTGCTGCTGACCTTCTTGCCGTCGCGGACGATGGGGAGAATGCAGGGGCCCGCCCGTGGGCCAGGCGCCTGGATCACTTGGGGCGTGGCATACTTGGGGTCGGAGGCGAAGCTCTGGGTGGTGGGCATGGTCTTCCCCGGTGAGCTGGAGAGCCGGGCTGGCAGCGGGGAACTTCCAGGTGGTACCAGGGGGCTAGGGGTCCTCGAGCCTTGAGGGGACAGGGGTTCCCGGGGAGGCACCCGGGGAGGGGAGGCAGGTCCGGGCCACCGCCCTAGCTCCTCCTCACCCGAGGGGGCCGGAGACAGCTCACCCCGTGGGCGAGTGGGCCTCGGGGGTATGGGCACGCGGGGGGGCACCTGGGGCTTGTCCTCACCCACTGGCGCCGGGCCAGGAGAAGGGCCCAGGGAGGCCGCCGGGACCTGCAGCTGCCGCATGCACTCCTGCTGCAGCGCCTGGAAGATCTGTGCGGTCTGGGCCGAGCTGGGCGGCTTGACCCCCGCCTGGGGCAGGAGGAACAGATTGTCCTCCAGGGGAGGGAGCAGAGGTGCCTGCTCAGGCACAAAGGCGTAGTTGGTCTCCCCCTGGCTGGGCCCCGCACAGACCCCTGCACCCACAAGGGTGCTGTTGATGGAGCAGACCTCAAAGTCATCCTCATCCTGGGCCACATCGTCATAGGCGGGAGGTGGGGGCAGCGGGCGCGCATCCCAGTCCACCACGGGCGTGGGGTGCAGCGGCCGGGGCAGGGCCCGTGTAGGGCTCTGTGGCGGGGTCTTGTCCAGCAAGGAGCAGGCGTCCATGGCCAGCTGTGCCAGCGAGGGTGCGCAGGGCCGCGGGGCAGGCACGACAGGCTCCTCGCCAAAGTCAATGAGCGTGACCTCACCCCCGCTGCCTCGAGCTGCCTTGGTGCCCGGTACCCGAGCCGAGGGCTTTGCGAGCCACAGCCCACGGGTCAGGGCTGGTTTCCGAAGGCCCAGCCTCTTGAAGTCGCTGGACAGGGGGTCCTGGTCCTCACTCACAGGGTCATAGGTTGGCTCTAGGATAGAAAGGGAGACCCCGCCAGGAAGGCAGTGTCAGACCGGGGGACAGGGGAAGAAAGGCAAGTTATCATCCGCAACTCCCCACTCCCACTGCCCCCAGAGGTTAGCCCTCGGCTGCCAAAATTCTCAGTGCACACCAACCCTATTCAAACAGGAGCACAGAAACTGCTCTGGACACTGCAAGCTCTCCGGGGGGCTGACACGCCCCGGCCTCCATCTCGGCTAGAGCAAGCAACACCCTGCAGCAGCCTGACACCCCAACACACAAGACCCCCAAATACCCCAGGCTCCTGGGCCCCGTCAGTCCCTGCTTACCCCCACCCCGTTTCGGCACGCCATTAGTGCGGGATGGAGGCTACGGGCAATCGCCCACCACCCAGGGCAGCTGGCGCTGTCCTTGGAGAGCACGGAGCTCCTGACCAAACACCACAAAAGCCCAGACACAGCCGCCTCTGCAGGTCTCAAAGGGAGTGGGGCAGGGCCAGCTGATGGGGGACAGGTGGGCACCAGGACCACACACCTGCTCCAGAAGCCCAAGCTTTTAGGGGTCGGGGGAGAGGCAGGCATGCTGGGCCAGGTCAGCAGCGAAAGCTCACAGCACACACCCCACACCCCCTCCCACCCAGCCAGCCCACTGGGGCTCTGTACCTTCCAGAAGGAGAGGAGGAATGAGAGGAGAGAGGGGACGGGGGCAGGGGCCAAGGCACCGAGAGCAGCCCCACTTACTCTGAGCGAAGATGGCAGGCTGAGGTGGGCGAGGCGGAGGCTGCCCTGCAAGAAAGGCCGTGCGGAGAGCAGAGGGGCGGAGCGGGACAGACGGAGGGCGGGGAGGGAAGAGGGCCAGACGGGAGGGCAGAGCGTGGACAGAGACAGAGAGAGAGCAGTGAGTAGGGGCGCGTGAACGTACAAACCCAACAGCAATGGGAAGCAGTGGGGCGGCAGGATGGGGGGAACCGTGTTCCGGAAGGACAGGCACAGGATCCGGGAGATGGATGAGGCTCCTGGCCAGCGTGAAGCCCGTGGGGTGGTTTTGGCTCGGGAGAGGACAGCAGGATTAGAGGGAGTGAGGAAAGCCAGGATCTGAGCATGGCCGGGAGGAGGGTGGAGGGAAGCTGAGGTGGGCAGGCCAGCACAGGACTGGCCGCGGGTGCCCACCTCGGCGGATACAGCTGCCTCTCATCTTCCACCCCACGGCCAGCCGGAGCCAGGGCTCAGCTGTCCCCCAGCAGCCCTGACCCAACTGTCCCAGAGCCAGAGCAGCCGGCTCAGCATGCCCGGAGAGGACAGTACCTCTTCCTGGGCAGCTGACGAACTTGGGGGGGGCTGGGTTCTTACTTTTCACCCTTCCTAGATGTTGGGTGGGTCGGGAGGTGCTCAGTTCCACACTCAGCAGGTCAGGAGGGTCCATGGGGTTTCCCAGGTATAGTCTGTGGGGAGACAACCAAGTCAGAGTGGGGAAGCAGGGGGAAGGCTGTGCAGTAGCGACCGTGGGGAAACCTCAGGTGGAGACTAAGACCCTGGGCACGTGCCAGGAACCATCCTGTCCAAGCCCTGCACAGAGCTGGGCCGGGAGCACAGGACTTCCAACTCCCCGCAGTTCCCCGCAAACTGTACCCCAGAGACAGGGGTCACAGAGAGATGGCAGGGCAAAAGTCCTGAGTGCAGGCTGAAAGGCTTGGGCTGAAGGGGCTCCAAGAATACCCTCCAGGAGCAGAGCTGCTGTCCACAATGGCTAGGGCACCCCACCCACACTTGGCAGCCACCTGCCGGCCCTCTCGGGAGCACCCAGCCACACGACCCTGGCAGGGTGGGCAGGAAGCACACTCTTGCCCCACGGCCAGGTGGAGAAGGGGCCGGGCTGTCTGGCCCGCTCCCGATTCACCCTCTCCAGCCCGGTGCTGATTGTCAGGCCCTGGGACTTAGTCACTGGGCTGATTAAAGCCCGGAGGAATGGGGCTGGGCCGGCCACAGCACGCCATGAGCAGGGCAGAGGGGACCGGGCCTCCTTTCGGAAGGCGTCTCCACACCTCGCCCCAATTCCCTCAGGCCCGCGCCTGGCTCTTGGGAGGTGAGCAACACCAGCTGCTCTGCAGGGCTTCTGGTGTGTGAGGGCAAGGGGGAGAAGGCCTGCTTCACCGGCCTCTCAGGGCAGAGCCAAACGTCAGGAGAAGTCAGAGGAGAAAGGGCTGCCTGGAAGCCCCCTGGGGCAGGGCACTCAGGAAATGACTAATTCTTCTCTGTGTCCTCCCCAGATGCCCCCCAATGACCTCATCCTTTTGCTTAAAGGAGACTGAACCCCCCCACCAGGTACAGAGTTGGCAGGCAAGTGGGGATGCTGCCTAACCTTCCATCTGGCGTCTCCCCACAGGGAGCTCTTTCTCTGCGCCCCCGAGTCTAGGAACACGAGCTCACTTGACCGCTGGGCCCACAGGCTCAGTCTCCAGGACTCTAGCAACCCAAGAAGGGAAGCTTCTACATAGGGAGCATCATAGCTTCCCTGCTGAGCTCCTTCCGAAGGCTGTTCCCAGTCCCTTTTCCTAAGGTCAATGCGCCAGGGGTGGGGGATTCCACCAGACAGAAGTGTGTCTCCAGGCCCCAAGCTCCTAACCCCGGTTCTGCCTGCAGGGAACAGCTTCTGGGCAGTAAGAGACCCTCTGCCCCACGGCTGTGACAAGGACCTCGGAAGCCAGCAAGAGCCTATGACTCCAGAGCCACAGGTGACCCCCACCCCCAATCGCACTCACTCGTCGATCTTGTCGGGAAAGCCCCAGCAGTGGCGGGGGTCACTGTCGCCATGTCCCGTGTGGATGAAGCTATTCTGCAGGGGTTGACTGATGTCCTGGGCCGACAGGCCAGCCACGGAGGTCACCACATTGCGCGGGAAGGGGCCTACACAGAGCGTCCGTGTGTTCTGCCCACGCCACCAGTAATTCTCAGCCCTGCTCAACAGAGATGACATGGTGAACCCCAGGGCATGTAGGGGTGGGGGCAGGGAGCGGGACCCTTCCCATACCAAGCTCTCTAGCCATGCTATCTGAACAGCCGGGCAGAAGGGGCCCAAGGGTTACAACCTTGAGACCAGTGGAGTCTGCTATGAGCCCCAAGACCAGTCACTCCTCTGGTACAGGGCCCAGCTGTTTGCACACACCTTACCCCAAGATACCTAGGTGGGTCAGACAGCTTTTCCTACAGTTTACAAATAAGGAAACAGGTTCAAACAAGTGACAGGACTTGCCTACAGTTCCCAGAAAGATTATAGCAGACCCAGGATTCAAATTCAGTTGTTAGTCTGCAAGCCAGCACCCTTCCTACAAAGCTGTCTCACCTCCTTCCTCCGGGCAAGGCCTGAACCCCCACCCTCTGGCCACCGGACCTTGCTCTTCAGCCCAGTTTCCCGGCATCCTGAGCTGCAGGGTCCAAAGGAGCACCATGGTCTCAGCACTGAACTTGGAACCAAGCCCTCCAACCACACTATTTCCTGCACACAGCCCCTCATGCACCTGGAAGCACTCAAAGCAATCCACGCCATCCCATTACCAGTTCTGCGTCTCCAGTGCCTTCTGCAACCTCTCGGCAGGGCTGTGGGACCCTCACCCTTATCCCTAGCCATCTCCTGGGGAACACCACTCTTGTCTTAAATACAGGGTCTAGAAAGGGACCCAGCGTCCCAGTGTAGCTGGACTGTGGGACCCAGCTCCTCACTCTGATCTCTGCTGACGCAGCTTAAGCCCGGGCCTAGGGTGGGGGGTCGGGCCAGGAGGGGGCCCTCCTGGACACTTCGAATGGCAGGCTGCAGCTCCCTTATCTGCTGCTGGGCTCATTACACCTGATGACGTGGGCAGAATCCACGCTGAGGCAGGCGAAGGACAGTCTCATGCTGCTGTGCAGCACGTGTGCATACCCAGTCATCCCCCATCCACAAGGCCAGGAGCGTAAAGGTCTCCTCCAAGCTGGGGCTAGATTGCAGGGGCCGAGGGGGCATGGAGGCTGAGCTCCTGGAGCCTCCTCTGGAAGGTAACGTGGCCCCCTGGGAGCAGCTGACCTCAAACCACCAGCTCTAGAGGTCAGGTCGAGCCCCACGAGTCCGGCAGGTCTCGGGAAGCCAAGAGGTGGGGCAGGGGAGGGCTGGGAAGCCAGCCTCCTTCTAAACAGGACCGCAGACCAGCCCACCACCAGACACAGCAACCCTGTGATTACACCCTGCCCTGGAGTGGGAAGGGCAGGAGAGGAAGGAAGAAGAGAGGACAACACCCAGGAAGGGATAAAGGGACAAAGCCATCGAAATATAGCAGGGCCCTTCTGAGGAGAGAAACGCCCAGCCAGCACCGCAGCTCCCAGGGGGCAGGCTGAGGTTGACATCTGCCCATGAAGCAGGGCGAAGAAGGACGCCTGCCACCAGGGGACTCTGCTGCTGGTCTCCCCTCCCCTCTGTGCCTACTGGCACCCTGGGTTCTGCAGGCCTCTCCACAGACTTCTCGGACGCCCAACCAGGCTGGACAATGGACTCTGCTCTCCACGCCTCTTCAGAGGTGCATATTAACCTGGGTGAGAGAGGCGGCTGAGGCAGAGACACAATCCAGTGGAGAACCGAATCACGTCCAAGGCCAGGTCCACCCTGTGACCATGCCCTCCCTGTGGACCCTGAGCAAGGTGAGACTGCCAGGAGGTCCCTCCCTCCACCCTCTGCCTCTTGCCAGCACAGCTGAAGTCCTGACACAGGGGTTCCTCTGGACCCACTTAGGAGAGTGACAGATGTCAGCCCCCTCCTCTTATTGAGGGTATGGCCGAGCAAGAGCGCTGGGCCCACTGAGAGTCCTGACATCAGTGACATCAGTTTCCACACTCTGCTCCCCGGGGAGGGGAGTTGGGGATGCAGAGCACGCTTAGGAAAAAGACACTCTGGGAGTCACATCCCAAGCACACTCAGCAGCAGACGTAACTCTTGAGATGGCCGACACTCTCCTGCGCTGCCCACCGACCCCCTCCGAGGTTTGGTGGGACCCAGGCACCAGCCGCTCACACAGGGAAGCCACCCGTCCTACCCGGCCTGCACTGGCCACACCCACGCTCCCCACCACCACCACCCCCACCGCCCCATAAATGGGCCAGAGTCTCCACAGCAATGGGAGGGGTCAGGCCCACTATGGGCAGATACTGCCGCGCAGACAGAAGTCCCCGGGGAAAGAGACCAGGGCCCAGCACCTCCGGCACAAACAAACATTCTGTCTCCTGCTGCCTGTTGGCATCCAGGGACAGGCAAGACGTTGAGTGGCACCTGGGAAACCCAGGTCTGAACTGAGAACTGCCTAAGGCTGCCCCAGCTTCTACTTGGGACCAACTTCTGGAAATTTCAGCCCCCACCCAGTCCTGGCCCAAGGTAGTCCAACCCAGAAACGGCTGATAACTGTTGCTTAAACATTCTGCTCAAAACACAGCCCAACTCACTTCTGAGTGACTCAGGCATCCCTGGTGTTGGACCACCCAGGCCCCTGGTTCCCTGCCCACCTACCCCTGGAAGTAGAGGCTCCGAGGACCAGGCCAGGCCAAGGCCCTGAAAATAGATTTCCACACCTGTCTCCCTTCTCTAGTTCTGTAAAAACAGAACATGGAAGTGCTACGGCCATCCCAGCTTCCAAACAAGATCCCCCTGGAAAAGACCCACTTGTCATCTGTCCCTCCATCTAGACAGCACCTCACAAGTTCGACAGAGCATCTGGGTGTCCTCTCCTGCCCAATGCCTGGCACCCCAAGAAGCCCCGAGCTATGGACAAGGGGATCCCAGACTTGGCACTGCTTCCGCAAAGGGAACCCATGGTTGCCAGAGAAACAGACACAGAGCTGCGAGCCAGGCTAAGAGACAGGGAAGCAGAGAACCAGAGAACCACGCGTACAAGCCCAGACCCTCCACCCAGAGACATGGAGACAGAGAGTCAGCCAAACAAATACAGAGACATCTGGGCACCGAGAAAACAAGGGGCCAGAGTGAAAGTACACAGACCCACCCCCAAAGCCTCGCCGGCTGCCCCTCACCTCCCACCTCCTGAGCAGCTCCAGGAACCCTGTGCAGGCACCGTGGTCCAAGTCGGCGCTGGCCCTGGAGGAGGAGCCCAGGGAGCTCACACCGGCAGGCAGCTGCAGAGCCCACAGCTGGGGCCAACCAAGGCCTGGGACGCAAGGGTGGGTGGGGCAGGGCAGGACCACGGTGCCTCCCAAGAGGAGTGGCTCCCCCAGGGCCCCACCTGCTACCCGCCTCGCTCTGGTGGAAACCCAGGCCACCAGCTCCTGAGACACACACTCCAGAACACAAGCAGCAATTAAGTCACCCTCTGGGGAACACTGGGCCCCCACTGACTGGGAGGAAATAAAGACCCGAGGGCTATGGTGCACAAGAGGGGTCAGGTCCAAGGTCCTCGGGTTCCTGAAGGTGGGCATGGTATGGGTCCAGACTTCTAACTTAAGGCCCTGCCATGCCCCTCCAGATGGGGCATCTTCCTATTTCCAGAATGCTCTTCAGAGACCCATGCCTATAGTCCCCTGCCTGGCCCCCAGGCCCAAATCCAGAGACTATCTACCTTCCTGACCTGGGGGCCTCTCACCTCCTAGAAGCTTTCTGCTTTTGTCCACCACCACTAACTCCCCAAACCTCCACCCCTACAACTCGCTGATATGTCATCTGTATTTCCAGATACCGGGCCCAAAGGCTAGGGGAGCCCTGGTCTGGCCACAGTGAGGGCAGGGGGGGTGTGTCCCCAGAAGCACCCTGGGCTCCAAGGCCCACTCCATCACTCTGACTCAACCCAGAAGCTCTCCTCCCTTACCAACCCCCATGGGGACAGGACTTAACTATGAGCTCAGACCCCCCAAACCTGAGGCCCAGGGAAAGGGCTCCATGGGAAGCGACCCCTGCCCCCAACCTCCCACCCCACAGCCTGGCCATGCGTCACAGAAGCTAGGAGCACAGGGGATTTCCTCTGCCTCACTCCTCTTCCTGGTCCTCCATACTCACCCCCTACCCCAAAGGCACCTCAAGTCTGCGCTGCCCCAACCAGTTTCTCAAGCCACCCTGGGGATCAGATAACAGAGGGTGGGGTGAGTGATGGGTAGGGCCTCCTGGGCAGAAGGGCTCCAACAGGGGCTGCAGGAAGTTGACGTGACTCAGGAGATGCCGCCTGGAGGCAGAGGCAAGCATCCCAGGTGTCTGGCTTCGGGGAGAGCTCAGGAACAGAGGGCTCTGGGATCCCATGTGGGCAGCCCATCAGAGTGGAGCGGAGCCCTGGGAAGGGGCAGTGGGGCTCAGTGGGAGGACAGAGGCTGCCAGGAAGAGGGCAGATTGCTTTGGGGGTACTGACAGGCACTCAGTCAAGAGTCCCTGTCCTGGGAGGAGGCGGGAAGGGAAGGGGAAGATGAGAGGAATGTTCAAGAGTTCCAGAGTCCCTAGCTGTGGCCCCGAGGCCAACTGAGCCACTTCCTACGCCTCACCGTCACAGCAGCTTGGCGCTGACCCACACAGCCAGGGCTGGAGCCGAGTGGGGAAAGGGTAAAGGAGGTGGTGCTGGTCAGGGACATTCCCTTGGAGCGGCAGCGTCTGGTACTTAACCCCAGGCACTCGAGAGCGAAGCCAGGCCCATCCTCCCCTTACTGCACAGCTCAGGCTCCCCGCACCCTATGTTGTCATGGGAACCATGGAGGCAGCAGAGCTCTCTGCCATCCCCACCCTGTACCCCTTGAGGCAGTGCAGGGGCAACCCCGCTCTCCCTACCTTCCCTCAATGACGGTGATGACATCGTTCATCTGGATGTGTAGCTTGTCTGGTTCCTCAAAGTCCTGGAGGGCCCGCATGTCTGTGGGCTGGGCCTGGGGGCCGACACAGGTCACTGCCCAGCCTGGGCCGGACCCCTGCCCGGATACCCCAGCCCCATGGTGCCGGCCTCCCCTCACCTCCAGCAGGAAGTCCCGCAGGGCCACAAAGGTGGGTCTGTCTTCTGGCTTATGGGCCCAGCACTGAACCATGACATTGTAGATATCCTGGGGGCAGTCCTCGGGCCGTGGCAGACGCTCCCCCTCTTTGTCAATCTTATGCAGAATCTGGGGGTGGGGTGGCACAATCTGAACATGAGCGGAGCCCCCAGATCCTTGCCTCCCACCTTCCCTCCAGCCCATGGAACTCCTGGAGCTGTGGGCTGCCAGGCCTGGACCCCAGAGGAAAGGTCTCCAGGAACCTATCCCCGGGCCTCTGACCCTCAACCCCTGGCTGGGGCCTCTGGGTAGGTGGCCATGGCAAGGGAAAAAAGGTAAGCCAGCCCCAGTCTGGCCCTCTCCTCACCATCAGGGGCCCTTCTCTCTGCTCAGCAATCTGGGAGGTCCTATGAGGCCACAGGGCAGGGGGGACAGGGACCCTAGTGAGTAAGAGTCAGTTCCAACAGGGAACCCAATCGACCCCCACCCGTCCTGTAGGGAGAGCATCTCCAGCCCCTCACCTGACTGCCGTTGAGACCAATCCAGGGCTCCTGGCCATAGGTGAACATCTCCCACAGTGTGACCCCAAACATCCAGGTATCACTGGCATGGGAGAAGGTGCGTGTCTTCAGGCTCTCAGGAGCACACCTGGCAGAGGCAGGGGTCACACGGAAAGCCTCTCAGAGCACGCCCACCCACATCAGCCCACCGGACATTAAACACTCACTCAACATGTGGTGGGCCTGTGTGCCAGGCTCACCAGTAGGTACTGGTGACATGAGTGAAGTGACCAGGGACAGGACTTACTGACTGGGGGAGGCACAGACTTGTGGAAAATCATCTATGCTCATGTCTTTATTCCCCTGGAGCCTGGGCGGGATGAGGGGGAAGTCTGCAGGTCAGGGAAGCAGTTGGGGGTTGTGGGGGGGGAGGTCAGGGGTTCCAGGAGTCAGTGAGGGGGAGGAGATGGGATAAAATCTCAGGCTGTTTTCTAATTGTGGTGGGAGGAGGACAATTTCCGGATTTGGGGCAGGATCCTGAGATTTGGGTCATTTCAGCAGGAAGGTGTGGGTGGGAAATTTGGATAGGGTCTGGGGAAGAACCGAAATGGCTGGAGACAGTTACACTGGCTTCACCCAAGTATCCCATACTCCCTCTGGGACTCCCTTTTGGGTGAGACAGAGAAATGCCACAGAGTGTAGGCAGCAGAAGGGCACTCCCTGGGGGGCTAAGGTGCAGGGTGTCGGGCAAGCTGACCTAACAGAACCAGAGACTCTCTCCTGGGACTGGAGAGCTGGCCCTGCCACTCCAAGGGGGCAAGACACGGGGACAGTCACTCAAGATCCCCAAGTCTCATGTTCCTCATCTGTGAAACGGGAGTGACAATAACCTGCTCGTCTCACAGTGGCTGTCATGAGGGGACTTCATCATTTACCACCCCACCTGGGATGCCTGGGTATGAAGCGGGCACTGTTATTGACTCCAGAACAATAGGCAAAGTCTGGAATGTGTGGTCACCCCACATATAAAGTAGGTTATTAATTAGGGGGACCATGCATCCCGGGTTAGAAGAATCTTCTGGCAAGGAGAACCAGGCCTACTCCTTGCAGCCCAAAGCCAGGAGACCACAGTCCTTCGGGGATGTCTGGAAGCAATGGACCACGATGGCCTAAGCAAGGACAAGCTCACACAAGGGCCGGCACAGGGCCAGGTACCCTCCGTGCACAGGTTAAAGTCCCTGTCAGCCCTACAGGCCCGGCACAGTCCATCCCTGCCTGCGGCTAGCTCTCCCTGTAACATACTTGCCGACCAGTCTGCCTGGCTAACCGCAGACATTTCGGGAGCTTCCTAAGGTGTCCTCCAGGAAGCCCTTCCGAGCCCCCACAGTCCTCACCCCTGTGCATCACACTACCCAGCACACAGGCCCAGAGAATTCCTAGATGGATGAGTGGATGGACTGCACACGAGACAGGCACCCCAGGTCCAGAAAAGACAAAGTCTACTGTGGTCATTGAAGCCCTGGGGGCTCCGAGGCCGGGGCGTGCAGGGACCGGGATGGAGCAGGACAGTATCCAGACCCGATGAGCTGGCAGCTCCTGTCCCTCACCAGGCAAAGGGCACCTTGCGATGCTCCTGCATGACATAGTGGTCGTCATTCTGGGGCAGCGCACGCATCAGCCCAAAGTCCCCAATCTTGACCAGGTCACGGGCAGCCAACAGCAGGTTCCGGGCAGCCAGGTCTCGGTGAATGAAGCGCTTGGACTCCAGGTAGCCCATGCCCTCGGCCACCTGCACAGCATAGCGGCTCAGAGTGCCCAGGAGGAAGTGGCCCTGGTGCTTGCGTAGCCGGTCCAACAGCGATCCGAGCGGCGCCAGCTCTGTCACCTGAGGCCACGGGGCAGGCGGGAGGAGTCAGTGTGGCAGAGTCCTGCCTGTTCCCCGGTGCCCCATGCTGGGCTCCCAGTCCCTCTGCTGAAGGCCTGAGCCATGCTCCGTGCTCCTCCCTGGCCTGTCCTCTGGGGACCTCTAGGTCTTCTCTGGCTCCCCAAGCCTCTCCCTCCAGGTAATGGGGGAACCCAAGGCCCCGAAAGAAGCAACCGCAGAGGCTCAGATTAGAAATTCTAAAAATGAAACTCTAAGGCCAGCCCCTCCGATGAGTGCAACTCTCTGCCAGTGAGCACAAACAAAACCCAGAGATGGACACAGGCTCCAGTGGCCACAGGACCAGGCCCGGCCCCATCAGGTAAGGGACCCACGCGTCCTTCATCAGGATGGAGGGACAAAGCCCAGTGCAGGCAGGGGGACAGGCAGATCTGGGGGCCCAGAGACCCTGCCTGAGCCCCCGGCCACCAGCAGCAGCACTCACCATCTTCATGGGTGGCGTGAGCACCACGCCATAGAGGCGAATGAGGTTGCGATGGTCCAGCGAGTGCATGGCGTTAACCTCCCGGATGAAGTCGTCCATGGCTTCAGGCTGGCTCAGCACGTCAGGCTTCAGGCACTTCACAGCCACACTCACCTGCCGGGGTGGGGATGGGGCGGGGTCAGGACGGGTGCCCGGCTCCAGTGGTCTGCGCCAGCCTGCTCCTCCCTCCAACTCAGTCCAAACAGCCCTAACTTGGGTCTGCTCATCTGGGTGGGCGAGGACGTCACAGGGGCCTGTGGCCTGGCTGGGGCAGGGCCTCCCCTTTCTGGGGAAATACCCAGATGAAAGAGCAACTCGACAAAAAGAGATGATCAGTGTGGTGACAGAGTATTAAAATGCTGTCATAAATGGAATACTAAAAATGTTTTTGGTGTGGAAGGAAAACACTGTAAATACAATGCCAAAAGGAGCGCCTGGTGGCTCAGTGGGTTAAGCATCTGCCTACAGCTCAAGTCATGATCTCCAGGTCCTGGGATCAAGCCCCGCATCTGCTTTTCCCTCTCCCTCTCCCCCAACACCCCCCCAACTTGTGCACGCTCTTTGTCTCTCTCTAATGAATGAAGTCTTAAATGTATGTGTATATATGTTTACATACACATATATTCCCAAAAAGCTACATATATGGCCAAAAACGAACCTATAGTGAGAGAAATCAAAAGAGTGCTTCCCATGGAGGACGAGGACACTCAGTGGAGGGACAAGAGGGAGCCTTCTGGGGTGCTGGGACTGTTCTCTGTCACAATCAGGGCAGTGGTTACATAGGTCTGTGCATTCATAAAAACTCACTAAGTTGAAATGCTAACTCTGCTTCCTGAGTGGTGGGATTACAAACAACTGTTTTTTCGTATTTTTAAAATAATTTCTGAAGTTTTATAATAAGTACATTATTTTTGTAACTTAAAAAAAGAAATAGACGTGTCTAGTTAAAGGTGAGCATGGAGTCCAGAGCAAGCCCATTTCCGACCTGTCCCCAGCCCCATTCACATCCCAGTAGAGGGGAAAGAGGCAGCACTGGGGACACTCTGCCAGAGTCTCATAGAGGCCTGTCCCTCTGCCGCACCCAATTGGACCCAGAAAGCTCACCGTCTTCCCTGAGGGGGCATCCCACTCGCCCCTGCGCACCACGCCAAAGGAGCCATCTCCCAGCTTCTCGAAGAGATGCAGGTCCTTCTCCCCAATGAGGCAGGTGAGGCTCTGCAGGGGCCCCTCCCCTGCTGGGCCCCCTGGTGTGGGTGAGGTCTTCCGGAAGGTGCTCTGAGAGTGATGAGGAGGGAACTCAGCCTCCAGTCGCTTTCCACTGAACACCTGTTTGAAGGCAGCCAGGGGCCAGATGGAAGCCTGAGGTCCCGGAGCAGGTCACTCAGCCCTGCCCCACAGCATCGTCAACTAGGCCTCCAGAGAGGTCCTGGCTTTGCCAAGCTGCCCGGGGGCAGCCGGGCTGGAGGCCCTTCCCTCCTCTAGACCACACCCTCAAACAGGAACCCACAGTCTCAATGTGGCCTTGGGGTATGTGCCAGAAATGGACTGACAGGCATGCGGCTTGTGACTGCTGTGGCCCCACACCCAGCTGTGGGGTCAGAGAGAGACCAAAGCCCCTCCAGACCCATCTTCTGCACCACCTGTCCCTCCCTGTCCCCCTCCCCAGCACAGACTCCAGCCCCTAACCCAAGCAGATGGGCAGGAGCCCGAGGGGCCCTCCACAAACACCTCCCTTTCCATTTTTAGCCCTGGCCCCTTCTCTGGGTTGCCCATTTGGCGCTGTCTGTCTCCACCCTCCCTGGGGAGCTGACTGCCCTTCATCCTGCCAGGGGAGAGGATAATTTGAGCCTGAGGCTGGACCATGAATGTGTGTGTGTGTGGCGGGAGGAGGGGGGGTGCAGATGAAGCAAGGCCTTGCTGGGGAAGGGCCTAGGAAGACAGCTGAGCTCCTGGAGGGGCGCCTAGAGCTGAGAGCTGAGAAAGGAAGACTGGAGGGGACTCTGCAGCCTGGGCTGTGGTGCGAAGGGGCCAAAGGTCAGGGGACAGGAGGAAGGAGGCCTTGAGTAGCAGAGTTGGCCCCATCGATCTGACTTGGTCCCCTGCACTGGGGCATCCGAAGCCTTGGCCTCAGGCCGCAGACCCTGTCCATTTGGGCCCTTGGCCCCCAAAGGTTGGCAGAGCCTTACCTGTATGGGTTAGGAGGTGTCTCCAATATGAGGGCCTCTTCTAGCCTCTGCTCTGTCCTTCCTCCCAGTAACTAAACTACCTTATGTTTGCAGGCAGTGTTCAGCTAACAAGGCCCTTCACAGCCTTTATTTTAAGGGATCCTCTCCACTGCCCAATGAGGTGAGCCAGACAAGTACCGCCAGCACTCTCACTGAAGACAGGCCTCAGGTCTGGACAGGTTCACCGACCAACCCGAAGATGTCCTGGGTGGTGGGTCCACGACCCCTGAATCCAGGCGCACTGCACAGCTCTTCCCTCTTGCATTTATCCACCCAACAAACTCATCCTTCCCTAAAACCTGGGCAAGGGACCAGGACAGTGTCCCCAGAAAAGGCCACAGAGTCCCAAGAGACAGCCCCTTGGCCAGATGACAGCCAGGAAATCTCTGCTGCCCAATCCTGGTCCAGCTGTTCTGCCCTGCCCACCCCCCACCCCAGCCCTGAAGCCAGAAGCGGGGAGGGAAAGCCCTGGCTGGTTCACTTCCTCTCGCATTGTCTTCCAGACAATGGGAAAAGTTCCACTGAGTCAGACCAGGGACTCACCACTCCAGAGACCCAAATTAGGACAAAGGGAGAAGGGGGGCAGGCAGTGGGGAAGGAAGCTGTCAGCAGGCCCACATGACCAGAGAAACCCCCTGCCGACTAGGAAAAGTGGGGGAGGAGGGAAGCCAGGCAAAGATGTCCTGGGTCCAGACAGTCCCCACCACTCTGCCCTGGACACTGGCCCCAACAGGCAGACAGAGGAAGGGCTCAGGTTACCGCGCGCTTGTCAGCGAGTGCCTGTTCCACGCCCAACGCAACTGCACGGCGGGCGGGGGCGGGAAGACATCGCGGCACACGGGCTGCTCACATGCCCTCAACAGTGGGGACGAGACACTTAGCTGGGGAGTTCTGTAGGCACCCTGCCCAGAAAGACCCTGGAGGAGGGAGGTCTGGACCAGGTACAAATCACACCTGCCTGGGCTCGGAGGAGATCCCCAGGACTGACCTCACAAGGAGGCCTGAGCGGCTGCCCACCCCATCTCACTCCTCGTCCACGCACCTTGCTCATCCAAGACTTGCGTTTGCACATGGCCTTTCTTCTCTTCACAGCCTCCCACAGCCGCCGCTGGCCTGCGGGGAAGGAAGGGGTTTCAGATGTTGTTAAGGTAACTCATATCCCCCAGAGAAGCTGCCCACCTGCATCCTTCCTTGGTCCCCCTGGGGTGCATCCACCGCTAGGTACTGCCCAGCACAGTGACACCAGGAAACAGAGCATTCCAACCAACCAGGGGCCACAGTTAACCAGACGGCATTCCACATCTAGGCAGTGGTTCTTGAACAAGAGGGAGGCATTTAACCACCAAAACTGAATAGCAGTTGTCTTTTTCCAGTGGTCTTTTTCAAGAAAAAAAAAATAATAATAATAAGGTAATGGGTAGAATTTGCCCAATTTTGAGTTTTTCCTCCCATTTTATTATGTTCCTGGCATCAGATACCAACTATCAAAGCCAAAACTAGCCTGTGTCAATGTCTACTTTAGCATGTTATTACTTATTCAGCTATTTTAAGCTGAATGTACTAGTAAGTTTCTAATGCAAGGAATAAATACCATTGCTTCTAGATGTTACAGTCAGTACTTTTAGGATAAATACATAGGAAAAAAATGAGTTCAACTGACATGGCAGATCGTGGTTCATGGGAAAGAGACAGAACGAGTTCACTGTACAGCAGATCTTTGTGAGAAAGAGACAGATTAAGAGAAAATGGACCAAAATTAACCATCTGAGGGGTTCTTATCTTCTCCTAGTCACATGGATCTCTGGACCCCGGCCCCTCTGGGGTTCAGAATGGTGAGCAGGGCAGACTCAAGTCCACATTCACAGTGGAGGAGGAGCTGGAGGAGTGCATCCCCAAACGTCTGAACAAGCCAGAAGGGGTGTGTGTTTAATCCTGAGTCTGCAGAGCTCTAAGACTGCCTTGTCCTCCAGCTCCAGGTCACCGCTCCCACTGCCAACTGCTCTCCTGCGCTCACGGTGCGCGGCATCTACCGATGGCCCTCCAGCCCACCGTGGGGGCTCCAGGACAGGCCGCGGGCATCCTCAGCTCTGCCACCCCAAGCCAGGAGGAGGAGGGCTCTTCCACGCACTTGGCCGTCCTGAGGGCAGAGAGGTGAACGGTCAGTGGGGAAGCAAGCGGCAAGGCCAATGTCCCCACCTACCGGGCCGGCCCATGCCGATCTTCTCCAGGTCCTCATTCTTGACATACTCGAAGTGGGACAGGCGGGTGATGTTGAGGTCATCACGGAGCCGCAGGAAGTACTGCTGCAGCTGCACCTCGGACAGCAGCTCCAGCAGCCAGCCCGCGCCCTCCTCCGGCTGCATGCTGCTGCTCCCCAGCCTCTGCGGGGGGGGGGGGGGGGGGGGGGACGGCTCAGGGACCTGGGGTGTGGGCAGGGGGTGGGGGACCCCTCCCCGAGGGCCCTCGGCTCACCCACCTCCTACTAAGCTGCTTCAACAAAGGGCCCAAATCACCTGCCCGCTCCCCCAAACTGTACAGCTGTGCGGCCCTGTGCCCTCTTCCCACTGGCCACAAGGACGGAGCTGCGACAGCCGGAATACAGCCCAAGCCCTGGCGTCGGGGTCTTAAGTCCAAACTGCATCTGTGGCTGAGTGACCAGAGAGCCACCGCTCTGTTCTCAGAGGCACAAACCCTATGAGAACCACGAAAACTACTGATCGTGTCTCCAGAAAAACAGACACATTCTTACAAAGTTTTCGTTACAAAACTGGGGAGGAGCAGCAGGCTGGTTCAGTGGGTTAAGCCTCTGCCTTTGGCTCAGGTCACATTCTCAGGGTCCTGGGATGGAGCCCCGCATCAGGCTCTCTGCTCAGCGGGAAGCCTGCTTCCCCCCGCCCCCGCCTGCCCTTCTGCCTACTTGTGATCTCTGTGTCAAATAAATAAATAAAATCTTTAAAAAAAAAAAAAACTGGGGAGAAGCAGCAGGCTGGCTCAGTCGGTAGAACATGTGACTCTGGATCAGGGCTGTGAGTTCGAGCCCTGCACTGCGTGTAAAGATTACTTAAAAATAAAATTTTTCTAGGGGCACCTGGGTGGCTCAGTTGGTTAAGTGTCTGACTCTTGATCTCAGCTCAAGTCTTGATCTCACAGTCATGGGTTTGAGTCCCGCACTGGACTCCATTCTCGGTGTGAAGCCTACTTAATATATATACATATATATGTATATATATTGGTGGGGTTGTATGTGTGTGTGTATATATATATATATATATATGTATATGTATATAGCTGTATATATACAACTATATGTATATATAGTTGGTGGGATACAGGGTCCCTTGAGATCCACCCATAGGGTCCCCAGACCTGATGGACCCCAGAGAAAGCACTGTGGACTAGATGAGCTCTGAGTTCCACCCAATGCCTGACATCAGCAGAGCCTCCCCTCCCGATCCAAAAACCATCCCACAGGAGACCACTTGAGTGCCCGACAGGTCCACACAAGTGAAAGATAAAAAGGGAGCAGAGGCTGGGGTGGCCTTTTATTTATTTATTTTTTAAGATTTTATTTATTTATTTGAGAGAGACAGCGCAGACATACAAGCAGGGGGAGCGGCAGGCAGAGGGAGAAGCAGGCGCAGCTTTGAGCAGAGAGCCTGACGTGGAACTCGATGCCAGGACTGTGAGATCATGACCCGAGCCGACGGCAGACACTTAACTGACTGAACCAGCCAGGTGCCCCTGGGGTGGACTTTTAGATGCCGGTTCAAAGAGGCAGCCCTGCTTAGCTCCACTGACCGCTGTCACCGCAGACCACTGTCCAGCGTCATTAAAGCTTCCAATTTCTTCAAGGAATACTGGAAATCTGAATCTAGATGTGAAATCTAGCCACTAAAATTCTTTTTGAAAAGGTAATATATGCACATGGTAAAGTATTCAAAAGGCACATAGGAGCCATGAATTCTCATTCCCTGCCCTCCTGCGCAGTCACCTCACCCCCAAAGCCAGTTGCCATAAATGACTTCTCCGTATCCTTCCAGACTGTTTTCTCCCCTTACACCAACATTCGCCCATCAACCACACCATTCTCTTCCTTGTTTTCACTTAATATTACATCTTTCTCCTAACTTTTTAATTATGTCAACCAATTCAACTCTGAAACACAGACACACACGCGCGCACGCGCACAGACATTCTGTGCTGGCCAAGCAAAATACAAGTGCAGGCTATAATCAGCCAATGGGCCGCCAGGGAGCAACCTGTGACCTACACTCTCTGAGGCCAGGAGAAAGAGGACACAGGGGCCCCCCTGAAATGAAGCAGCCTGACGGATTGAACCCAAACCCATCCTTGTCCAAGTAAGATACCACAGAGCTGAGGGCTGACCCGCATTCAGTTCCCCACCAAAGAAGAACCAAAAGAGGGAAAAGGCCAGCGACCACTCAACCGCCCTCCAACAAGTCAGAGGTTGCCTTGGCCCCCAGCTCTCACCGCGAGGTGCACTCAGAAAAGCAGACACTGACAGCTCAGGCCCGCCATGCGTCTCTTGCCCCCACAACTCCCCATGGCGCTGCCAGCCCAGCGCCAGGACTTCAGACCCCCAGGCAGTTCAGGGCAGTACAAAGAGTGACCCATGGGATGGGTCCCATGGGTCACTTCAAACCTGCGCTCCCCGCCCCAGCAAAGGCAGCTGGGCCACAGGGGTGTTCCAAACTTCAAGCTGTGACCCTTTACCCAGATGGTTCTCCCAAGAGCTGGACGGTCCCCTAGGGGACATTCTTGGTTGTCATCATGTTGGGGGGCCACAAGTGGCATTTCGTGGGTGGTTGGTAGATAAGAACACAAGTTACCCTGTAACGTACCGGGAAATCTCACTCACTGTCCCACATCCCACACAACTTAGTTCATGCAGGTGAAAAACGGGTTTATGATCATCTGAACTTAGAACTGAATCCCATCTTATGTGTGAACAAAAGTTATTTTGCAGTTTCAGTATACACTGAACCCCCCTCGAATGGAACTAACGCGTAAGCTGAGGGAAAACTGGCCTTTGTTTTGTTCAGAACTCACTGTGTAAGTTATTAGCTGGTCAGAAAAATGTCACTGAAGGCAACCTGCCTTTGATTTCAAAACTCCCCTCTCAGTCAGCACCAGCATGCGCTGCCTCCACACTGACTGGAGGGCTCAGCGCTGACTACTTCTTCCTTCCCGACATATCAGAATACCTAAAATGTCATCCTCACTTTCATGTCTCCTTCAAACTACAGGTGACATCATGTTGGCGGACTATACACATGGTAAAAAGGACATATTTCTAATAATTTAATTGAAGAAGAGTAACAGTAAAAATAACTCTGACACCTGAACTCCAGTTATTACACGCCAGGCATGGTTCTAAGCATCTTGCTGCATTAACTCACTTCTCAACAAAACTATCTGTTACGCACAAGGGAGCGTGGATAATGAAAGGGCAGGAAGCTGCCGCTTTCCAGAAGAAGGCCCCAAGGGCACACTGTGAAAAATCACTGACCGTAGCTCTCGGCGGCCTGGCCAGTACTTCCACCACCACTACCCTGTCCCTGGACCAAAGGGACTGCACCCGCTGCGTGCCCCAGCATGTGCCTGCCAGCAGGGCAAGCGGTCTAAAGACCCCCTCCTCTTCTTGCCCAGGCTCCAAGTCTCACCAGGCTCCTCACTGCCACCTTCCCCTGGAGGCAGCTGCTCCTCAGAATAGCTCAAAGCCATGCCCTAGGTGGTCAGGACTGGGGGAGACACAGAGCCCTTCCCCTGAAGCTGCTCAGAAAGCCCAGCCTGGCCTGCTTCTCTTCCCTGAGACACCAGCGAACAGATCTCCCTGCTCAGCTGGACACTCCCCTCCCTGCTTCTCCAGCCCCAGGAACAGGGCTGCTCTGCGTAGGGGTGTGCGGGGAACTAGAAGAACACTGGGATCCCAGTGAGGAGAAGCAATCAGGGTCTCAGTCCTGACTCTACCACTGGGCCCAGGGTAAGCCTGGACGGGCCCCCTCCCCTCGGCTAAGTGCCCCTTCCATAGCAAGTTTCTTTGTCTACAGAGCACAGGGAGGGCACTGGCCCGGCTTCTCCCCGACCCTGCTCACACTCTCCAGTTCTGCGTGTGCCTGGCCCCCAGCCCCCAGCACACCCGCAGTCCCACACCTGTGTCTGACGCAGGGCGCAGCACTCTCCTGGCCCGCACACTTCCCACGTACATTTTTCTAACACACGCACCAACCAGGATGCAGGGGCCGAGGGGAGAGGCCCTAAGCCCAAAACCCCTATCAAGCCCTCAGCCATTCCCAGTCCTGTACTCTACCCTTCAGTGAACTGCTGGCTCTGCGGGGGGGCCTGGCCCAGTCCCCAGTCAGTCCTACCCACACCCCCAGCCCCCACTCACTGTGTACAGGCGTCGCCGTAGTCTGGCCAGGAGAGGGAAGGAGAGCTCTAGGCCAGGGAACCGACGAGCTGCTGGCATCTCCACGGACTTGGACCCCCTGACCAGGTCACTGGGGCTCTGGCCCAAGAAGTGGGGGAGCAGGGGCTTTAGCTCCTGAATTCAAGGTTCTGCCCAGAATGGAAGCTGACCAGAGGTCTGTCCCAGGAGCTCCCCAAATCCCACACCAGGGGTGGGAAATGGGGCAGAAGAACAGGGCGGGCCCCTTTTCTCTGCTGCACAGCTGTTTCCACAGCTGGCTGGTCTGGCAGGAGCAGGTCAGCTCTTCTCCGGGGCTGGCTGCAGCCTGGGTGCTCTGTCCTGTTTCTCTGACTTCTCTTCAGTGCAGTGGTCACAGCTCAGCCGTACTCCCTGGCTCCCCCGCCTGACCGCCCTCCTCCCTCTTCCCTCCCTCCCCATCTGAGCAGCTCTGACACTGGCTGAAAAAGGACCTTTCTGAATCACTGCCAAGAGGGTGGCGGGAATGGGGGGACTCTTCCTCCCAGCCACCCGCGCTGGCCCCCCCTGCCTCCCCATACACAAGGCCCCCTGTCTCTGGCTTCCACCCCAACCCCCATAGTTGCAGACAACTCCTGGGATTTTAGGGTGGGCGCTATGTGAATCAAGCAGCAATGTACAAAGAGGGGCTACAGGCTCCCATATAGGCTTGTCTGGGGCTGTGGGGGCTAGAAGACAGCCTGAGTTGGGGGCTTGGGCCCCAGAAAGTCATTTTCGGGCCCTGTAGGCAGACCCCTCAGAGACCCTCCCCCATCTCCAAGTCCCAGCCTTGGCTGGGCGTCTCCTGGCTCAGACCCTAATGTGGCCCCGTTACCCTGGTGCCCGACGGAAATAGGAGGCCGGCAGCCTGCCAGAGTGGGGCAGTCCAGCCAACAGCAAGGGGGGGTTATGGGGGTGAGGAATCTCCACCCCCTC